TTATTTGTCCTTGCCAACACTAGGACAACTAACCTTGTAGAGCTTGAAATTAAAAAGTTAAATCAATTGGTGTTGATTGGACATGAGTTTTACGGTATTGGAATAAAATCATTCAATATGGAGTGGCAAGAGTGGTTTGATAGAAGAGATAACGAAGAATGAGGTAGAGATTTTCCTAATCTTCATGAGCTTAGTTTGGAGTTGTGTCCCAAGAATCTGGATGCCTTAAGCGCATTTTCCTTAGTAGTTAGGTATAGATGTTTGCCCAAATTTTATTTGTTTTCTCGATAAAGGGTTACATGCAACCAACTTGACAAAGTTAGATTTCCATCAATGTCTACTGAGGTCACTACAAAACAAATGCCTACTCATTTCCCATCTCTGCATACTATGTTCACATAAGATTGTCCAGACCTTCAATATTTTCTGAAAGGGCAATTGTTGTCAAAATTAGAATCACTAGAGTTCTTTAATTGCAAAAACACTAGGTGCATATCCCATGCAGTGGGGTCTACGAACACTCATGTTCTTAAAACAATATTTTGAATCTGAAGACCATGGATAACAAGTGCTTTAAACACCTTATCTTTCTTCATTCATTGCTAAAGCTACAATAATGTTTAACAGTGCTCAGTTTATCAGATAATATTACAAAGTTGCCTAATTTGAATGGACTTTTTATACATGTTAGGCACTTGGATGTGCCTTGCACTTAAATCATAAAGTTAACTGATACATTATGTACCTTGTATAATTTAAAAACTTTATTGTTGTCGCATTGTTATGTTCTTATTATGTCTACATACTTGGACAGGCTAATCAACTTAGATCATCTTGATGTTGAACACATGAAGTTAGAAAAGATGCCCCCACATATGAGCAAATCGAAAGAGCAGCAAATATTAAGAGGTGAGTTTGTGTGGGACAAAGACACTAGATATAACATATTGTTTTCTATCCAGATGATACTTTCAAGGTCAATATGAAGAACACGATGTATCTTAAGGAGCTTACTTTGGATTGGAGAAGTGATATTGAAGATTCACAAAATGATAGCCAAGTCCTTAACAACCTCCGCCCGCATATAAACCTACAAAAACTCATTTCCAAGTTGGTTTTGAAATCATTCTTTTCATATCTACTTTTTCTTTGACTTGAGTGTTGCAAGTTTGCAAGTACTAGTTGTCCTTGCCAACACTAAGGCGGCTAACCTTGTAGAGCTTGAAATTAAAAAGTTAAATCAATTGGTGTTGATTGCTCATGAATTTTATGGTACATGAATGAAACCATTTAGATCTTTGCAAGTTTTGAAATTCTTCAATATGAAGGAATAGCAAGAGATGATGGGGTCGAAAGAGTGATTTGATATTAGAGGTAATGAAGAATAAGGTAGGGCTTTTCTTGATCTTTGTGAGCTTAGTTTGGAGTTGTGTCCCAAGCTAACTGGAACATTACTGTTAGACTACTTTTTAAATCTTGAAAGGGTTGAATTGTGAGATACTAATCTAGAATCCTTTACTCTTTCACAAGAATCTGGATGTCTTAAGCTCATATCCTTCAGTAGTTTGGTATAGATTTTTGCCCAAATTTTATTTGTTTTCCCGATGAAGGGTTGTATGAACCTAACTTGACAAAGTTAGATTTCCGTCAATGTCTACTGAGGTCACTGCCAAAACAGATACACACCCTTTTCCCATCTCTGCATACCATGTTCCATATAAGATTGTCTAAACCTTCAATCATTTCCAAAAGGGGATTGTCATCAAAATTACAATCACTAAAGTTCTTTAATTGCAAAAATGCTAGGTGCATATCCTATGCAGTGGGGTCTACGAGCACTGACCTCCCTAATACAGTTAAGTGTTAGCTTCGAATGATGTGAAAACAAATTCATTTCCGGAGGAGGGGTTGTTGGCCACTACTCTCTACATGCATAATATTTGGAATCTTAAGACTATAGATAACAAGTGCTTTAGACACCTTACTTCTCTTAAGGACTTGATGATTGAGGCTTGCCCTGAGCTTTAATGCTTGCCAAATGAAGGACTCCTTGTTTCTCTCTCTAGTTTAGCAATTAATAGTTCTCCTATGCTCATAGCATCGTGTCAGAAAGAACAAGGGTAAGAGTAGCCTAAGATTGGTCACATCCATAACTGTATGGGTCGACAACAAACGAATATGATGTGGTCCCAAGTCTTCTTCATGGGTTCGAGATTTTGTAATCATAACTATTTGATTCTCTATCTGCTACTTAGTTTTGCAGTCTCTGTTTCGGTAGTGAATTTCAAAGTGCTTACTTCTAGATTTAATTTTAGTAGTGTATCCTTGATAAATGTGTTCTCTTAATCCCGATTTCCTCTAAACTGTTTCTATAATGTGTTTATATTTGTTTAATATTATCCACTAAACTTTAGCAATGAATCTAAAGATTATCTCCTCTCAATAGATTCATGCCTCCCTTTTCTTTAGTATATGATTCATGGTGATTGTTTAGTATCTTTGAGCTATTCCAAAAGAGGTAAAATCTTTATAAATTGTAAGAGCTTTTAGGCTCCATCATTAGTATATGGGATTGTTGTGTGCTACCCATTGGTACATGATATATAACTATATAATAGGTGGACTCAATATCAATTACATGATGAGTTCTTATTATTGGGCTTGGACTATTCCTACTTGTGTTGGGATTAGATTTTTTCATGATGGGTGGGAAACCTAATTGACAGTATATAAGTAAGGTCCCCTCACTTGCAGCTTCACTGTTTTATGCCATCTCCATTGTAGTCATACATATTGAATAGTGAGGAAGACTATATACTTCTGCTTCAAACATTCAGAATGTCTACCACTTCACTCGTTAGTATCTTTGTTTATTTATGGATTTATGTTTATTGGGACTTTCATAAAAGGATTTTACTATCCATGAGGATATTTGTTGCAAATGACTGAAGGTGCAAGAAAAAAAATTCTGGTTTTTGTGAGTCCAAATCAATTCCAATATCTGAAAGTTTCAAAATCTAAAAATTTTGAAGAAAAAAATGAAATTTGAATGTATCTCAAGATTATGAAAACTTCCGAATTCTGAAATATATTGGGGTCTGAAGCTTATACTACACAAAATTACTAATTTCATGTTGGCTAAACTAACTAAATGACCAAATAGACATAGACGAGTAATTTCGAAAAGGATAACAACATATAATAGTTTTTTGAGCTTTTCGTATGATTTTTCAATTTTGAGCCAATTAAATATTTTATATAGATGTGCATGTTCAAAAATTTCAACTATTTTCCCAAATTTTTCAAACAAAAATCCGAAATATGTAACTTTCAAAAAAAATTCAAAACTTTCAAAATTTCCGAGTTTTCTGAATTAGAATGGATGTTGAAATTCTAAATTTTTTTTAAAACATAATTTTCATTCTGAAATTTTTTGGATTGGAATTGGAATCCTTTGATTCCAATCCGATCCGTCTGAAAACCAACCCTAAATGACTCGCATGTTCTCATCATAATATTGTGGTGGATATCTTCTTAATGCATCTGTTTATTCATATGCAACAGCATAATGAACTCGTTAATTTATACTCTTCACAACATGCTACGTTCTCTTAGTGTTTGCAAATTTGTTGAACACATTTGCCAAAGAATATTTGTTCAACATTTTGGCATATGTCAAGATTTCAAATGTGTTTACCAATTTGATGATTTTGTTTTCGACCACGTGTTCTGTTTAGGTTTAATCTCTTACATCCTTGCATTTCAGTCGACTTATATGCATTTAGAGGTTTTTAACTAGGGAAATTCATTATTATACTCAATATAAGGACTCAAATTATTATTAAAAAAAACTTATATGAAATAGATTTTAAAAATACACCCAAAGCTCAATTATAACATAACAAAAAGACTTCCAACTTCCTATAAATTACAAAACTGCCATCGATTTCTTAAAACAAGCCCAACCCCAAAATCTCATTAAAAAAACTCAATACACTCAATAGGGCATCAAAGTAATTTAATCATCAAAGTCAAATTCAATAGAACCATCTATCATTTTTTGGGGTTTTTTTTTTTTTTTTTTTTTTTTTTTTGTTTATAGAAATTAAATGTTGTAGAATTTATCTATATCACTAGTGCTAAGAATGGGTATATAACTAAATATCTCTTTTAACTATCGGTTTGAAGCATCAAAATGCGTTATTCAAATCCTGGTACTGATCACTCTTACCAAATTTGTTTGTCTACGTATCAATTCATAAATAGAGTCCAATACTATTTAGTATCGAACTTGACAACAGTTTGCTATCCACATTTGGACAGGTTTCTCTGGTTGATTTCTTCATCATGGAACAAAGTTAGACCATTTGAATGAATGAAGCAGTGATTGTCATTGAAAATCTAGTTGCAGATGGATAGCTATATTCTCTTCTCTACAGAATTTGTTTTTCTTTCCCCTGTTTCTAAGAAATTCAGGTCGCTGCCAGAACAGATGCATACCTATCTCCGATCGATTGAGTTTACTTCCGTAAGAACTGGATTCGTCTCCAGAGGAGGAAGTACTGCCCACGTACCTCTTCAACTCCAATGGATATGGAATGGGATTTAACTCTCTTGAAGAGTTATAAATTTGGATATCCCTCGAGCTCTAGTTTTTGTAGTCTTAATTATCCAATTCTCTTTAGGGTACAAACTCGGCTATTTTTAGGTGTTTCCTTTCGTGTTCTTACTGCTAGGCAGGAGGCGGCTCCAATATTTAATCATACAAACGTAACGGAACGGTATAAAAAGGGTTCGGGCATCACCAAGTATTATAGCTTTACCACCTCCAAACTTTTTATGCTCTAAAACACTACTACCGAAAGCCCTCTTTTTCCGGACCAATGGCTATCAGAAGCAAGATATGTTACGATCAGCAAAGCGGTACATTTGCACTCATTTCCCACTTAAGACATGCTGATGCAAAAGATAGGCTCATGCCGAAAGAATGAAAACCAGGCTTCCTCTCCAACAAGATTTTGATATCAAGTCTACCATAACAATGTCGATAACCATCAAACAAAGTAATACAGCCAACAAACACGAAAACTTGACCATTCAGATAAAAACACAATTCCTATTAAGTATCAGGCTTTCCATAACCTGCCCCTACATCCAAAAATAAGTAAATGATTTCTTAATAGATGCGATATGGCTTCCCCATAGTAGTCTTCAGGTTCAAGCACTTCACCTGATAAAAAAAATATTTAAAATATAATAAATTAGACGATGTAACTGCAAGATGTTCAAATAGTAAACTGCACACTACCGGCTTGATAACACTTTGAAATAACTAGTTTAATAAAATGCAATACGAGAATTTCAAGCTTCATAACAGAAACAAATATTCTGTTCACGAAAACTGTATTACTTACATTTTGCCAATTTTTCTTCAAAAGTGAAACAAGGAAGTTAACACTCAATTGCACATTTTGGAAGATCTGTTTCTCCTCCATGGAGGCATTCCCTACAGCAACTCCCATGCAAAGAACCTTCTTCAGTTGGAACTTAATGGTTGCTTTTGTCTCGGCAACCTTAGACTCAAGCGATTCTTGGTGAGTAACCAGGGTTGGAAATTTTCCTACATCGCATACAAACATTAGGAAAACAAGAAAAGCAGATGCCACTACAGTTCACACACCGAAAGAAAACATCAGTACTCAAAAAGAAAATTTATTTGTACACCTTCATGAAAAACCTGATCACAAATTTTCTAACACCAAAACAATGAGACAAAAAGAAATCTGAAGGTCTCTAATTCAACAATCCATACAATTCATAAATTAAAAGTAACAAAGCAAGCACCAATTATCCTAGACTCCTTCTGTAGACTGGATTGGATACAAACCTGCCTTGTTGAGACCAGGACCCAAAAGACGGGGAATCTGCTTAATAACAGCTTCTGATGCCAAAAAGGCATGGTATTTCTTGGCCAGTTTCTTAACCAATTTCTTGTTCTTGTTTAGCTTCTTCAGCCCTTCAACATCCATATAATCCAACCCTATCTTCTCAGCCTGTAATTAAATCAATAAAGAAGAATTAAACTTTGAAATTTTAATGGTGCAGGTGCAAAAGAATTAAACTTCGAAAATTCTGGAAGAATTTGGAATAAAAACACAGAACAGTTCTATAAAGGCATTCCCTAAAATTTAATCTTCTTTCAATTCTTTACCGAGTGGAACAAACATTACCTCTTCAACATGCTGAGCATCTCCAAGCATGCAAACCTTCATCTTTGGACGAGGGATGTGTGGCAACCTAACAGAACCACTGAAACGTTTGTCTTTTTGGGGATCATAATTTTTCAGCCCAATCTGAAGTTCGATGGTCTCAGTGAACTTGCGGTTTTTTTCCTTGGACGCAGCCATGATGGTGGAAATACCCTCCCTGAGAGTATCACTTTGAAGTTTACTGTGGAGACAGAAAAGTCAGAAATGATGAAATGGTAACACCCAATAACATCCATTTGGCATGTCATACATAAATGCATTGATTCTAATCAATAGGCACTGTCAGACACTAGATCAGTTATGGCTTTTGTAAATAGTGATACTCAAATCACAGTCAACGAGTTCTAACTACAGGAATGTACACCCATAGAACCATAACTTTTCACTGAACAATCACTTAAAACACGTGAAATACATTTAAGATCTATGCATTGACTTGTATCTAGAAAACTCAAAAAAAAAACGAAAAAATACTGTAGCCTACGAACCCGATCAACAGGCAAATTAAAACTCGATGAAAACAACTAATCCTTGTCTAATTTAGACTCCAGAATAAAGTTTTCAATATACAATAAACCACACAGATTCCAGCAACTTCAGAACAACACTCCAAGTAGGTATAAACAATACAGGAAACAATTAATCTTCTCAACATTGGAGAAGCTAAATAAAAGAACACAACCTTTCAAAGAGCTATATGACACCAATCAGTTAATTACAGCAAAAAAAAAACCCAATTATAATGCAAAACTGTAAATAAACATACCTCATGGTTGAATCTTAAGGTGTCTGACCAAACAAAGAATCTGCAAATGAAGCCTCAATGATTAATTGAAGTATCGAAACAAACATAAATAATGAAAACACCAAAATAAAAATTAATTTTGAACCAAATCGAATAAAATAAAAATTGCAAATTTTGTGCTTTTCTCGGGAAACAAACAGAGAATTGCAGATCTACGAATTCAACCGGAAGATCTAAATAAGAAAAAGACCGAAGGTGAATTCAGAAATGAGATATGGCACAGAGCTAGCGAGAGAGAGACGAAACACCTGAGAGTAGAGGACGCCCTCGTTAGGGTTTCTGGCGGCTAAGGGAGCTTAATATATGGAACAGAAGATTGTGAGGTGGTGACTGATAAACCCTAAAGAAATGATTGTTGACGTGTCTGATTTGTGGATGGGTTGGGCCGTGTCAAAGTTTGCTCAACTTGGATCTTGGATTCCCCTGGAACCAAGCTCCTCCATTTGGGATTTGATCTAAAAATTGTTTGTTGGGTTTGGACTGGATATCATTTATAACGATTTCGCAATCAACTTTTTCAATTATTTATTGACCAAAAAAAAAATTTCAATTATTCGTACAACAAAAATGTTTATAAGAATGATTAAATTAAATTTTTTTGAAGTATGTTTATATTATGGGGAACTTTCAATTCAATTGGGCTTATTCTTAACATATGGAGTTTCAATTTCATGAGTTCAGCCTAAAAGGCACAAATCTCAACTCTATCAAAGTCTGTCTATTGAAGGCTAAGGGTCAGTTTGGCATTGTTGTACTATGAAAATAATCGTTATCAGATTTGTTGTAAGAGAAATCAGCTGTGAGAGAAAACAGTTTGGCGTTTGGTAAACTTTTTGTTAAAAGTATTGTTGGTACTAATTCCCGCATAATCAAAAAATAATTGTTGCATAATCATTAAACCCAGCACCCCTTCGAAATTTAAATTCTGCATAATCAGAAAATGAAATCACCTCATTAGTTACTTTCCCTTATAGCTTTCTCTCACAACAATTTTTAACAATTAGTGATTTTCTCATACCAAACAGGCTGGACTTCCCAAAATATTTGAAAAATCATATCACCCCAAATAAGCAATGTCAAACGAGCACTAAGCGAATCACCTATTATACTCTTTTTTAATAGTAGAAGAAAGATTGAAATTTGAGACCTCTTAAGAAAACAATTTTTATGTTTCTTAGAAATAGACAACCACATTGCAACTTGTGTTATGAAACTTTGCATTAACAACAATAAATATGGAAAAGGTTACTCTTTGTTTTAGTCTCAATAAGATTGAAGTGTTGTTCAACTTATACAATCAAGAGTTCAATTCGAGAACACTAACATCCAGGTTACCAAGTTAATTGCCTCGATTTCTCGTTAGCGTAAATGCAAACCCTTTTCTTAGTCCAGTAAGTGTTAGGACTCAAGATCCCACATTGGAAAAATAGTATATCTTATAGTGGTTTAAGAGCTCTTAGACACCCTTCCATTACAAGTTGATTTTTAGAGGCAAGTTTTACCTATGGGCTCTTAACAAAGAGTAGTCAATTTAACCTTTGTCATAATCTGCATTGTGATTTCTTTACTTTTCAAGCTAGAGAATTTAACTAACTAGTCAATTTAACCTTTGTCATAACCCGCATTGTGATTTCTTTACTTTTCAAGCTAGAGAATTTAACTAACTTTTAAGTAGTGTGCAATTTTTTAAGGTCATCCTAGAGGCTTTTTTTGCACATTATATATATTCATTCAAAATGAGGCATCATAGAATGTCTGTCTGCCTATCTCTCTTCTTCTTGTTCAAATTACAAAAGTCTCTCTTGGCCACATTTTATCCGTACAACATAAACTGATGAGTTACAAATTTGCCATATCTAGCTTGCAAAAGCATCAACTATAAGTGATTTGGTTTTCTCAACAGAACTACTGTTCTTTGCTTTTTTTTTCTTGGTTAATAGTACTACTCACTCATAAAAAGAAAATGGAAGTTTGCTTGTGAGGAAAAGATTAAACAATTATATTTCATCTGAAAGATCTAGTTATTACAAGTATACTCTCCAATTGTCAATTATTATTGAAACGAGGGGAATGAGATCTAGTCAAAAACTACGAGGGGAATGAGATCTGAGTTTTTTAGCTAACATTGAAAAGAGAAAAAACTACGAGGGGAATGAGATCTGAGCTTTTTAGCTAACATTGAAAAGAGAAGTATCATTAGATCAAAAGTTAGTTTGTCTATATAATTTCTTTCAACTTTGAAATTCAAAATTTCCTCTCGTAGTTTTTGAATTAAAGTACTAGAAGCTCCACCTTGTATGTTGTTTTAATTAACAAAATTTTTTATTAGCTATCCAAAATAGTCATATCCCCCACTCTCATTTTTCCTTTAATTTTTTCATAGACATTGCATTTAACCAAGGCCTAAAATATCGATGGTTTCGGAAATATTAGTGGTAAAAAAGTACAAAAATTTTGATGAAAATATCAGGAAATTATCGATATTGGTAAAAATTGAATAAAAACCATGGCAATTGTAAGAAAAACTTGAAATTTTTTATTGAAACTTTGGAAGATGTTTATTTAGTCAATTATCTATTAGTTTATCACAAAAAAATTTGGAAGGAAATGCTTTGCATGATGGGTTTAACTGATTTAAGTTGATTGTATAACAAGCTGACAAACACTGCGTGTCACGACCCGATTCAAGAATAAGGAAGATTCCTGAATTAGGGTGTGAGTCATACCATAGTCATAAGAATAAAATCCTACAACTATGATATGATGAGAAAAGAGCCACAAATAAATACAAATTTACGTAACAAAATAGAATCAGAATCGCATTAGCTCGTAGTTAATTACACACTAAGATCTTTATCAAACCGTTGACTACTTACAAAAGTTAATTGCACAAATCAACAACAAAAGCCTAGTAGCTTGGTTGAAACCCGCTCCCTCAAACTTCGCCTCAAATCCTGCACAATCTATTAGGGTATGAGCATTCTAATACCCAGTAGAGTATCGTCAAACCCCTCAAGGTCAACTATCACAGCTAATCAAAGTGTCATGCATCAAATAACACAAGATATATAAGTTATGCAATCATACCAAATAAATAAATTTGTATATGCGGTGATGCCATGAACTCACTCATTTCTAATCCCTCTAATTCATACCTTAGGGCAACAAATCTGCATGTCTCATACCATGCATTTTACCACTGTGGCTCCGAATACTCTAAAATATGAACTAGCCATCATCCGTCCCTTAACCCAATTTTCTTTTATTTACGAATTTCTCAACTTTCACTTTTCATTACTGGCCCTGCTCCTATCACCACAATATATTCAAGCACTGCCCCCATCATTTGAATTTATTCCACATTTTTATTACTCAAATATATCTAAGGTCTTCTCCCACCCCTTAGATATATCTCAAACGACACACACACACACACACACACCCCCTAAACACCACTATCTTTATGACGCATATGTAATGCAGTGTAAACCTCATTTATTTCTGTTAAATAATAAATGTTCACCCGTTTGGTATTTACTCCTGAGATGGAAGGGCAAAGTTCCCCATTGCCTTGGAAACCATCGACTGGTCAACAAGTCAGCTTTCTTTGGTGTATATGAGCGTGCCACTACTAGCAATGAAGATTCTAGCAGACTTCTTCTAGAATAGATAACTTGCGCCCCAAGTTACTGATCTCTAAAACAAACGATTGTGAATTTGGGTGAGGAATATTTCCCAAGTAAGTTCTTTTCTTGCCTCAGACTGGTAAAGACTTTCATAATTTATCTCAGTATAAAAATGGTTGTTCTTGCCAAAATAGTTGATAGACATTGGACTGTTTTAGGCAGAACTGCCCTTTATATGACTATAAACATACATATCAACACTAGAAAGATTAAAAGACAATTGGAACTCCATTTCTGCCTAGATAGAAGGCTCTGATTCGGGCTGGTATGGATATGTCTGGGCTGGACTGAACTGTCCACAACTTCAACTACTAAGCTTCAGCTGTAAATCGATACCAAAGTTCAATTTTGACAGAGCTTTAATCTACTTCATGCTTTGTGAGGCTTTTGAGTGGGCAGAACTGCGGCTTCTTCAGTCTGAAGGGGCAGAAGTGGTTGTTCTTGAGGACTTAGTGAGCTAGGGACTGCACTGTAAGATTTGTTGAGGTTTTCATGTTTGGGAAAAAACTCAAACTCTGCTTGTTTTGGCTTTTGCTGAACCAAATTTGTAACGAGAAAGATCTCGTTTTAAATGACTTATTTTCTAAGTCTGAACTTTGGGAATTTTGATCTAAAGCTAGTTTCTCTTGGAGTTCGAGTGAGCTTTAGGTTGATTTCTTGTTGTTTGTTTGATTGATGAATTGATTGTCTTATTTGCCCTATTGACTCCCTCTTATATTTACAAGAAATGCTTAGGAGTAGGGTTTCTTTCTTAAAATAATGGGCGGCAAGTCTTTTCAAAAAGATCTTCAAATAGATACAGGAGAGGAGAAATGACTCTAATTTAATTATGTCAGATAGGCTTTCATCAATCAGTTCTCAAGATCACTTCTCTGTTTTTTTCTTTAAAAGAAAACCTAGTCCATTTTCCCAATTTAACTGCCCATTGTGAGATTTCAACTGTGATGGTTAGTTTGATTTCTTTAGTTTGAACAACTCCCTGCTTTCCTGCTTATTTCTTTATGAGATTGAAGTTTGCTTATCTCTTGGGAGAATCACCTTCTCTGGAATAGAGAAAAAAGAAGAAATATATATATATATATATGTAAGAGGGTTTTGATCTTCATAATTTTCAGAGATGTCCCTTCCCAATTTGTCAACCACTGACCCTTTCTTTTAAATTCCCAATCAACTCTGTGATAGTTGATTTTGTCGATTTTTCAAAGTCTGAGAAGAAATGTTTCACGTGGGTTTTTGAGAAATGTTTCACGTGGGTTTTTGAGAAATTGCTGCTGGGCCTTTTTGAGAGATGGTAACAGGTTGGGCCCAATCCAATTTTTCTATTTGATCTATCTAAAACGTAACTGCCATCCTTTTGGCATTTTTTTCATTCCTGCCACCTTTGAAAAGGACGTGGGCTGGGCTTTTTCTCTCTCCCGATCCGATAGTTTGAAGCCCGATTTTGGTTTCATGGGCCTTTGAGAAGTGGGCTATGTGTGTGTCAAATTAGGCCCAAACAATAACACAAATAATAACAATAATATTTCAAATTTAATCACAAGAATAATAATATTTACCCAACGTCAAAAATAATATCCATGGAGAAACATCAATAATAATATTCACATAACATCAAATAATATTCACCGAGTAAAGCAACAATAATATTAATATTTATAGTATTATATATAAGCACCAAGATTA